GCAAAGAATTTCTTGACCAGCTTGGAAACTATTAGCTTCTCAAAAAGAAATCTGTCCAATGGCGGTGGTGGTATTAAGATTATTTATCATAACCTATTCGAAACAGATACAAGCATTCAGAATCTCAAGGTATATAGAACGGATGTCGAAATTACATCTGGCATGGATATGACGTATTCCACTTTTGAAAATAAGAGAAGACAAACAAGGAAGACAGACGTGGCCTGTTTTAAGTCAATAGGCTCTTTTGAAGGACTGAGTAAATCCTGTCAGGATCGTCAGTTTTCGAACCAAGATTAGAAGCCAGTGCCTCTCGAATAGAGACCACAAGTAATAACCACTGCACGACAAAGCCGTTTATCCTGGCGACACAAAGCTGTCACTTCACACACTTGTTTGTATTCTTCAATCTATGAATATACCCAAAGCACGTCAATTAGACACCCTGTGACATGTACGATAAACACAAGTATGTAAATATCTTGTTACCGGCAGAAAATTAACGCGCTGAAAAAACAGGACTGGTGAAAAATGCAGCACGTACAAAACACATTTCGTTCTCTTAATGACGAGCTTATAAGTAAACAAATATATTGTGTGTGTCCTAGATGTATGCTTAAATAACATCCAGACACTGGAAATTAGATTCTATCCTTAATAATATGCAACCTAGCCATCACAGTTAAGCAGAAACTCATTTTGTGTGTGTGAGCTGGACAGTCGGCCGTTTTATACGCAATTCAAAGCCCTTGTAAATGCTTAAGATGGTAAATGATTGTCATCCTCCCCCCCCCACCCAACCGCCAAGCTGAAGGACCACCCTTTGTCAGCTGTCCGCGAGAAGGCGCCATGTTATTTTAACGGGAAACGGTTCAGAAACGGGAATCTTTAAAAATAAATTTAACTTCTTTGCATAAACTGAAGAAAAGTGAAAATGAGACAGGCGAGACAATCTTGCAAAAGAAGGAAACTTCTAATATTAAGAAAAATGTTCGTGTACTTCAGTAACCTACAAGGACAAGTTAAGATGTTGGGGTGATATTCTATCACATGCTGTGTTAGGTGTGTGAAGAGTTCCGAATTGAATATTCTTATATTAAAGAAATTCAATCAGTATTTAACTCATACACTTTATGTATCTGTACAGTTTGTGACGTAATGGTTTCTGAAACAGAACTCGACAGATTCATCTCTGAGTTAGACCGACTGTCTCATGCCACGGCCTCAGAATCAGACGGAGAGATTCAATCTCTCTGGACATCGAAAGAATTGAAGGAATGTCAGCATCTCTCATACAAACTATCAGGTATCTGAGAACTTCATATAGATGGACCAGTAACGGCAATTAATTCAATTACAGGTAAGTATACCAAGCAATGGCAGGCCTACCAATAAAAATTCTCTTTTTTGAGATAATTACCTTCCGAGTTGTTGTGACATGTTGTCTTCTGGCTTTACACCAACATCTAGGAAGAACATGGTAACAAGATATATAAACCCAGAAGACATTGAATTAATTCCGCCGTCATAACCTAATACTCGATTTACTAATTACTTTATATTAATGTCTAAATAGCTTAAAACAAATATTTATATTAATGTCTAAATAGCTTAAAAGCCTCCCATATGTGATGCCTTCAAGGTCCTTCAAGACAACTTACATTAAGTGTATTTCAGAAAATTCCTCAATGTAATCATGTTTGTTCTTATGCGTACGTAACTGAAGCGAAATGTACGTCCTTTACAACTAGTTCATCAGTAATATACCTTAATACGGTTATGTAGTAATTTGTTGCAATGTTTACATCAGCGGCGGATCGATAATATGGTGACATTAATCAACTCTGTTGCTACGTAACGCAGAAGAAACCAAAGACATTACTGAAGATAGAAGTGTACTGGGAAGGCCCATTTACATATGTCTGCTAGACAAATTTTCGCTTTGGCACACAAGCATTATATAACGAACAAAATATCTCACTTGTACAATCAATTCTTGATCTTTCGAAGTTTCGCATAAAATACGTCTGCCAGAATCTTCACCTCAGTGCCCCCGGGTACATCCGATTCCACAAACAAGATTCATAGACCGAGTCATGACGGCATCTGTAGTGGCGAACTTGCCAATACCACGGCTTAACGTTAATTTAATTTTAATTATGTTTTAAACTGACATATAGCTACAGTTTCAGACAAAGAGGACCTTACACGTAATGTTCTAAATATTATTTTAGGGTTTTTTCTAGAATTTTCAGTCCTTTTCTAAATGTCATAAGTTATTTGAATTTTGTTATTTTAATCTAAGATCAATATTTGTATAAAAATACCTCGTGAATATACCGTCATTACTCGCCTTAGGTTAGAAAGCATTAGACTGCAAACGCCTCGCAATGTTTCTGAAATAGTCCGATCTTGCTGAGTAACCGACAAATAAGATTTAGAGCATCATATATAAATTTGTTTGAACAGTAAATGTAAACAGGTATCAATGCAGCATGGGAAATATATAAAGTTTTTCATCATTGGCGGAACAACAGTGGTGTTAACCCGGCTAACACTTTGATATAAGAAAAATGAATTATTCTGTTTTATATATCTATATCTCTCACGGGGGCCAAATTAAAAAAGTCTTCACAGACAATCAGCTGCGTCAAATTCGAGTCTGTCTCCGAAACGTCTTATTTAATTATATTAAGACGATAGATAACGTCCAGGTAATGTCTTACTTCAATTGTAATTAATTAGACAAATGAGATTTAGAGCATCGTATATAAATTTGTTTGAACAGTAAACGTAAACAGATATCAACGCAGCATGGGAAATATATAAAGTTTTTCAACATGGGCGGAACAACAGTGGTGTTAACCCGGCTAACACTTTGATATAAGAAAAATGAATTATTCTGTTTTATATATCTATATCTCTCACGGGGGCCAAATTAAAAAAGTCTTCACAGGCAATCAGCTGCGTCAAATTCGAGTCTGTCTCCGAAACGTCGTGTTTTAATTATATTAAAACGATGGATAACGTCCAGGTAATGTCTTACTTCATTATTTAATTATATTAAGACGATAGATAACGTCCAGGTAATGTCTTACTTCAATTGTAATTAATTCTTCTGTTGCATTTTATCCAACGTCGAAGTGTTTTAAACCATGTTTCGGAAGTTAGGTCTACTTCCATCTTCAGATGATCGGCGGGAGGATAAAACTACTTTATTGGGGTTCCAAACTGAGCTATTCCGATAACATTAAAAACCAGGTCTAAAACTTTTTAATAATGCCAACCATATGTGGAAAATAACAGGTATTTTCTAACCTAGAACCGACTTCAACGGATAAGACATACAAACCTATTTCATAGTCGTTAATTATACAATACAGAATACGTAATACGAAATTTGAACTTAGCGGTAAATAACTACACACAAGCCTGACTTCTGGTTTGCAAAATTTAATGACACCAACTCAGGTGTATTTGATAATGACGCGGTGCTTAGAAAATAAAACGTGAAACATCAACAGACGTGGATTCATGTCGTGATGAAGTAACTACACTCACCTTAAACGCAGTTATGGCCACGTCCAATGAAGTATTTCATTAAGAACAGTAATGGTCGTTCACGGTGTTTGCTGAAGCGAAAACACAGCAGCAGAAATCGATTTCAAAGAGAAAGAGATATCTGCCGGGTGGGGACACATTACACCGTTCTAACAACAAAACTTTGTTGCCTTTTTCGGAAATGAGTAACTTTCTTTTCACCTTCTGATACAGATCTTTATATTTAGTCGCAGGAAAACAAGCAAATTATAATTACCGCTTCGTGACAAACTCTGACCTGTATGTCAAATATAAAAGGGCCGGAAATTCTGTAAAGACAACAACTTTAATTGAGCGACAGACAGTATCTCTCAACAACAATGTTTTTGTATAGGAAGGTACTTCTATTTTATCGTAACGTCAAAGTCTGCGTACGCATGGGTACATATTTATCTGATATCTACGTGTATTTACTGTGACAGAAAATAGCTACGTGAGGCTATTCGTCTTACATCTTGCAAAGCGGATAATTGGAAAAGCGTTCCGGATTCATCGAGAAGCGAACTGTAACAAGAAACTTTCGCATCAATAGAACATGCATCACGTTCAGAAAAGGAACCAAATAGACACAGTCAGCCTCTTCATTCTATTGAAACAATGACTCTTTCAAAGGGCAGTCACAAAAATTGACATTTTAAAACTATTTTAAGGGCACTAATCCAGATCATTCATTCGAAGTTTTCTTTCGAATACATATTATACATGATAACATATTATTGAAGTCTGTGAATACGATGATCCTCATTAAATTTCTTTTAATTCAAACCAAAAATATATCCTGATCTACATCTGGTGAAATGTATTTCAGTTAATATTTATCTCGTAACATTGCACCTCACGGTTTATGTCACACGATGATAATGGTCTCGCAAAATATTTAATACGTCTTCGAAATTATCATGTTTCTTAAGACTCGTGATGGTTTAAAAGTTTATGTACGATCTGACATGTCTTGTTTTCTGTGGAATATATTAATCATCTATTTTATATGGCCAAGATACTGGAACATGATCGTGTGGAAGTGTTGATCTTACATTTAACAACTAATGTAGAACAGATTCATACGTCTCGAGTGCAGGGCCCCAGTATATGAATAAAATGAAACTGTGTTCGTGAGAAAACGAGTTAATTTCGTGTCTAGAAATAATGTACGATCTGACATGTCTTGTTTTCTGTGGAATATATTAATCATCTATTTTATATGGCCAAGATACTGGAACATGATCGTGTGAAAGTGTTGATCTTACATTTAACAACTAATGTAGAACAGATTCATACGTCTCGAGTGCAGGGCCCCAGTATATGAATAAAATGAAACTGTGTTCGTGAGAAAACGAGTTAATTTCGTGTCTAGAAATAATGTGTGATAACAGAAATTAATGTAACTTAAGTCTCACATCGTTGTGTTGGTAGCAATGAGAAATTGTGTAACTGTGGTTGTGTTTGTGCTACACGTGGCATTCTGTTTCTGTGTTAGAACTTCTGGGGTCGTAGCTGCTCTTCAGAGGTACTTTTATACGGAGTGTGTTTTCTTGTTGCACAATGAAGATCACGGTAAGTATTCTCCTTATTAGAACTGTATGTCAAAATAAATGTGTTCTTTTATTAATTATGTTTGCTTGATATCACAATTATTGCATTTATTATCTGCTGTCAAACATAAGTGAGCATGTCTCTTTTCCCGTATATCCCAGAGCCACTCGCAGGACTTGGATTACAATTACGATGAATCTCTGTACTAAAGGTAATAGACGAATTTCATGCTTTGCTGTATCAGTTCATTGTTCCGTATATAGTCCTAAAACATCAGGTTCAAACTGAAGTTAACCAAAACTTCTCCAAACGCCACATCTAAAAACAACAGTTTCATGAAATACATCTCAATGTTGTTGAACCCAAAGTTGATCTTCCAGCCTTTTCTTTGGACTACCAACTTATCTTTCTTTATCAGGTGATTAATGATTTATATTAAATAGACTACGCATGTAAAAGCAATGATACAATGTGTATAATTTCGACACAAATTAACACATTTGGTTCTGTGTTTGTGGTTGGAAACTTAGATATTTCCTGTATTTAATAAATTACAGCAAAATTATTTTAAACTGTATTTATCTGTAGCCTCATAGCCGGTTAATTTAAAATGAATAAGTGTGCAAATATTTGTAGGATTTGATGTTTTTTACGGCGGTGAGTCTGAAGATGGCTGTCTTCTGTGCAAATATTTACTCTAATTTGGAATAAAGTTGTTTGCAGAAACATACGTCAGTGACTTTGATGTTAATTTATTGTTGATAAAAATCTTGTACCGAGATATTAAAATTCTTTTTTATATCATTAATGATTAATCTATCTGTTTCTTAAGGTGTAGATACAGGTAAACATGTTGTGCATCTGATAATATCTGGAATCAGGTTCCAAATAAACGCTGTATACATCTCTGGAAATCTATATGTATGTTACGTGCAATTTTTTTATAATCAACCGTTTCTCTGAAAATTGCTAAACTTCTATTCTAGCTCAGAGAAAAATATGGTTATATTTGACCGACGCAAACCGAAAATAAAAACTCTGTACAAAGTTTATTGTATAGCACCCCAATATAATATTTTATGGAACTCTATTTAGTAATTTTAGACACGAGAAACGCAGACAGACAGGGAGAGAGAAACAGGAACAGTCCATTCCGCATTCAGAAAAATATTATACTAAGTAATTTTCTCTGAACGAACAAACAAACTATTGATACAGAATTATTTTCAAATAGTCTGTGAACATGGCACTTATATATGTGCAGTTGCGTGTTGACATTGTTTTACAAAACTATGACTTACGCACACTAATTCAATGTTTGTACAACAGTCATCAATAGATTCAAGACCCGCCTCTGTAATTAAACGTCAAAAACGAACACTGAACCTAAGTGGCCAATTGTTCTCATATAAATACGAATTTTCTGTAATACTGATGGAAAATCAATACAGACTGTAGTACAATTTTGAAAGTCATTTACATCAGCAACAGAACAAAAGGATTTGAAAATTTGTCTGTAAGAAAAGAACGCTCTATACTATTCATTATGTTCAAGAACACACGAAGACAAACTATAGTGTTTGTCGTCCAGCGAGAATTTGTCAGTTGTCGCGAAATTCCGCATTTCTAATTTTGCTACGCTGCAAGTTCTAAACTGTCTTCACTCTCCTGTACTCTGCTCTTTGTGTTGCATGATTTTTCTGTGACATTGAAGCATTCGAGTTGATTACAGCTACTGCAATACATAAATTACAATCTATATTGCAACCCATTACGTCCGAACCAAGGTAAACTGATATGTGGCGAGAAACGAAGTTGTTCATTCAACAGAAAGAGTTGATATGATACAGAAGGATTAGCCAGACTTTAGTGTTAATATTTTAATATTTTCCGTCAAATCACATTTTAAAATATTAACCTACTTCACAATATGACGCAAATATACTACCTTACAGACTTTAGTGCTAATACATGCTGGTTACCAAATAATGGAGCGTTTATGTTAACCGTCTTAGCCAGGCTAACATTTAAAAAAACGAAAAAATCTCTCTTACATGCGTGGTTCAGTGATACTCCATACTCTGGAACACAGCAGAGCCAATCAGGTAAAGTGCATCGTTGGCCAACTATTTCAGGCTCAAACTCTCAGTTCATAGTTCTAGTTACGAAGATGTTAGCCGGGCTAACACGGCTGAAATGATTAACATGAATCCTATCGGTAACCGTTAGCCTTTATCACAGAAATTCTACTCAAGCTATTAATCGGACATTTATGACATTTTTTCAATATTTTAAACAACATTTTCACTTAATTCTGACGTAGGTCTCACAACTACTAGCACTTTGGCTCAGTGGCAATTGCAGCTGTCAAGCGAACTGTGCCCCTCTTCGGTGCAGTTCAGACTCAACTCGACCCAAACGTTTTCAACGTGCCAACGCAGTCGTCCACTGTTTGTCCTACATCCAGGAGATCCGACCAGAATAAAACCATTCCTTCAGGTAAGTTCGTGGGTAAACTCAGTACTTAACACACTACCTACAGTTAAACGTTCCCTGCTGTTCTTGGCATATTAAAACGTAGTAGTAGCATACAAGCAAGGGCACTTACATGAACTGTGAGTTACTTAAAAGATGCAGTAAATTTAAGAATCACAGAAGCGTTAGTTTCGCAACAATTTTTCAAATTATAAATGTCAAATCTTTATTCAGTTCTCAGTCAGTGATGTGAATTATATTCTCATATTTATTATACCTAGGAAAGTGACGCTACGTGAATATAATATATTCTCTTGCAAAGAGGCAATTTATTTTCGAGTGAAATACAATCGGCAAAAACAAAAGAAAGTTCGCTTACTTCACAACCGGCGCGAAACGATATATCTGATACAGACGAACGTGACGCGCCATCGAACAGCGGACTACAGCGTCGCGTCGCCTCAAGTAGCGATCACTCCAAAAGGTACCATATTAACAATATGTGAACATCAGCATGACTTCGGGCATGCCGCGTTAATTTATAGACGTCATAATTACAACAGGTAACACAGCAATGGAACTTCATATTTGGAAAACGACTGGTGATCCGCGTTATTGAAAAGCCACAAAGATCACTACTAAATTAGCAAATGAGATAGGTAGGATTCCACTTGGCTGTTCCACAGTTAAATCTTATTCCTCGTATTACTATCTTCGTCTTGTCCGGCTAAGCATACGTTCGTCCAGTTTGCAGCAAACAGAAGCTTCTCGAGGGTCATCTGGTTGCTGTTCCTGGACAAGAACTCTTCCCTGGAGGAATTATTCACCGACATTAACATCCCCTTCGACTGCGAGTTCCTGGTGGCTCAGCCAGAAGATGACCACGCCGTTGGTCTGACCGAAGTGTACCGTGTTAGCCCCACACTTCCCCTGCAGACATACCGTTTCGGCAACTGGACTCCTGATGGCGGCCTCACCTGGCCCTCGAGAGGCTTCTACCATAGGAGAAACAGCCTACAAGGACTTGTACTGAAGACAGCAGTCATAGATGTAAAGTTCTATAATGTACTATAGTCCCCTTGTAATTGGAGTGCCCTCACCATATGAGTGTGTGTCATCTTTTCAGTTGCTTAGTTCATGCCAAAAAATTGTATGTAGCCCAAGACTTTCTGGACGTTTCGCAACATGCTAGAATTTTACGAAAAAAGGTTGTTAACCATCAGCCCAAAACCCATGCTGGAAGACCAATGCTTGTCGTCTGCCTGCCACTGCTTAATTAAGTCACACTGCCCTCCCTATCTGGAGACAGCGTCCTCCAACCTCAACCTAACAACCCGTTGTGTCGAGCGACCCACACAGCAAACAAAAATTGAAATGTGATTGTTATTATATTCATTTTAATACAACCCTCTCTTACTCTCATACTAAACTTTAGTATATTATATCAGGCACAATGGCAACAATCTTGATACCGAAAACGATAATAATTTTATAACAGAAGCGATAACAATAAGTAATGCGCAAAATAGCGGTAATTGTGCGTTATGTTATTATTCAGCATTTTAAAATAAATTTAATAATAAATTACAGGCTTTCTACACCAACGTCGTAGAAGAAAGTAACAACAAGCCGATTAAAATATCTGGTTTCTTTGGGGAAATGTGGAACACGCTTGAGGACCAACTTAAATTCAAGTAAGTAAATCCTTCGGTTCGTCTCAGTCATTCCAGAAGTTATTCATATATAATACAATATATTATTTGCGTTTATGAAACACGAAAATATTGTGTATTTACGACAGCCGTCGAACGAGTTAAAACAGCGGTAATGTGCCTGATGCACATTCGGAAAATCAGCTGAGTCCCCATCGGCAAAAAACTATTCTCTGGCCTGCCTCAGTGAATTGGGGCTGCATTCTTAGCTAATGGACAGGTACACAATGAACAGTCACTAGTTAAGTCTAATCGCAGTGTTATTGTGACAGGTCTGATTTTTACAAGCCACTTGACAACTTCTTCGGGGCTCCAACCGAGAATGGATCGTGGAATGGTATGATCGGAATGTTGCACAGAGGAGAGGCCGACTTCGCAGTTGCGAAGTTCGTGATGAGCCCCGCCCGCCTACAAGCCGTGGACTTCATTTCAACTTTAGAGCAAGTGAAGTACGAAGCATTCAGAATCTAGACTAGGTGATACAGCAGTTTTAGAAAGTTCCATCTGAACGGTCAATCCTAATAACAGAGCTAATACCACAGATAGACAATATAAAAATAATTGTGAAAAAGGGAAGAAAGAAATACGCGTCTGAATTACAGGCTACGAGAAAAAAAGAATAGCCAAAAAACCAAGAAAAACGTTATCTTAATGTGGGTTGGAAAAGTCCTTGAAGCTGCTGCTGATGGTGAAGTTCAATAACTGAACTAGCAAATTAACTGTTCGTGACATTCTGGTATATAAACCGAAGCCTCTGCACGAAGGTCAAAAATGCTCGCAACTGACCCATTTCACATTATAGTAATATTCACCTTTACCTCCTTTCCATCGTATCTCCTTTTCACATTTACAATGGAAGACACAATTATAAAACACGGCAAGCAATACGTCGGGTCAGCCCAGTGACGTTACTGGCTAAGGGCACTTCGGGTTGATTTTCTTGGATAAAGCGGTCACAACGAAAACCTAACCACTCATTTACTATAGCGATTATAATGCTGAGATTAGGAATTCGTAGAGCCTTACCTCCATTCTTCACTTATTCATGGCAGGTCTTCAAACACAGAAACGTGTATTTGTCGCCTCCTCCTTCCGCAACCACAACACAAATAAACTTCTGATGTATCTTACTTATCACTGCCTTCTGTACCTGTGTTCCAGGACAAGGCTGTTCATCAAAGAACAAAGAGCACTGCTCGTGAAATGGGACGAATTTCTCAGACCATTCACCAGGAGGCTCTGGATGTTACAGTTGTTTTCAATGATTCTTATCGGTCTATGTTTCGGAGTGACGTATCACGTTGGACAGCGACTAGGACTTGAGGCCGGCGTCGCATCCGTGCTCCAGAATCTCTACGATGCCTTATTCTACACTTTCGCTAGCTTTTGTCAGCAAGGTAATGCCTCATATGGAAAAACAATTAATGCACTACGTATTTGCCCGAATGAAATGCGAGCTATTTTTGTCCTCCAAGTTAGCATCCCTTCCAAAATATTGATTGTGGATTCACGAATGTTTGTGTTAGGAGTTTGCTGTTTGCTGTTGCAGGACGAAGTGTGACGCCACGAATGTTGTCATGCCGTGTTGTCTTCTTGACATCATATTTCACGGCTGTGGTGCTTCTCGCCGGATATTCTGCTTTCCTCATATCTTTCTTGGCCACTAGAGAGACCAAGGAGTTCCCTTTCACTAGCTTCAAGCAATTTCTGGACGATGGCAGGTTTCAGCTGGGCATGCTATCAGATTCGGCCTTTACATTCTATTTTGAGGTAGGTATCATCACCAGCAGATCGTGTTGCCACTACAACACCGTGATCTAATTATCCCTGGGCCCCGCCTGCATGGACGTAGGAAGCCCCAGATGAGGCGTGAGGCTTTGTAAGCTGTTCAATTGAACCCCAAATGTCGAAGCGTGCAGCTAGAAACTTGTACCGATCAAACTGTCCTCCATACCAGTGTATATTCGTGGTAACGGCAGGTGATTTCACTAGAAAGCAGAACAACTGTCAATGCGCCTGACAAACACCTGCGCGCCGGCTAATGTTGTTTCGAGGGCTGGGCGATGGTTCAAGGGATCTCATCAAATCCCCGCGTGACAGTAATATTTTTCAGTATAATGACAACCAGTCACCTGAAGTTTGACTTAAGCCAATTCCCGAAACGTGAAGCATGTCATGATTTCTTTAGTAACGCTTTTTCAAATGCATCGAGTAGGCGCTGTATCAGATATTTTGGAATGGGGCCTTCCGAATACGAAACAGCAGTTCTAACCACACGACCGAGACTTTCCGTTGCTTCTCAGATACTACATCTCAGTCAATGATAATGTCCAGCAGCATATTGGCAAAATGTTATTATAAGTTAGTAATCAGATTGTGAAATATTAACAAGCCACGTCATGTCGTTATGAAGCAACAGATTCTATACACTGTCTGAGAATGGGATACTGAGGAAATTATTTGATATGTTACAACACATGTTCAGCGTTTGTGCTTCGAATGCCAAAGTTCCCCATTTAGAATCTGAGAGGCATAATCGAACACCCTTATAAATTTAACAAGCTTTCTTCAGTTGTTTCATGCTTACGATGGTATCAAGTTTCTCCGACATTGTAACAATTCATCATTCAGTAAACCTGTCTGAAGTAACTTATGTATCGCTAACCAAACAAAGAAAGAGAGATACAAACTATAACTTTAGAACTTACTCTTCCTGCAGAACTCAACGGATCCTGTGATGCAGAATATTTACCAGAAAATGATTGCACCAAACCGACACAATTTTCCATTTTCGGATGACGAAGGATTCCGGAGGGTGTGCAATGTACCGAATTATGCCTACATTACGTACACAGATCTGGAGTACCAAGAGACGGGAACTCTCAGCTGTGGTCTCACCGAGATTCCGCAAATTTACATCCCTGGTTCACTGGCTATAACGACAGTCAAGAAAAGCCCTTACAAAGGAATCTTCAATTCTGTGTAAGTAACGGTAGATAATTCTGTGCACGAACTACATAACAGTAAGACTACATGGCGCAACAACCCAAAATACAACCATCTTCTAACCAAATATTTTCTGTTTGTTGTACCAGAATCTGGAAGATGAAGAGAAATGGAATCCTGAAGAGGCTGCACACAATGTTTTACCCCATCAAAGTTCCAATATCAGAGATTCCTAGACCAGTGGTCTACCTAGTACAAGTAACACCAGTATTGACACTTCTAGGTGCTGCAACGTTGGTCGCCATAGTGCTGCTCCTGGTGGAGAATAAAGCAGCCTACATCAAGGCATGTCTCCAGATTGGCAGACAGAGAATGAACCAGCTATTGTTTGGTTTGATTCTGGTCAGTCCTACACATGCCAGGAAAAGGCGACAGACATAACAGCGCTGCCAGAGAACCACCTGACCCATAAATAATAGCATATAACACTTTAAACTATCTAAATTTAACCATCAGTAAATGTTACAGTAAAACGCTGCTGAATTTCAGCAAAGTTTGAACTACTTTTAACTCCAAAATAGGTCTGTGTTTAAAATAACATTGCTGATTTCCTTTCAAATTGCACATGATAAACTTAATCAAATTATGACAAAAAATAAATAATTTCTGCACTCATATGCAAATCTAATGCTTTATTTGTGTCACAGCATTTCAGCTTATCACAGTCAGATGGCAACACGAATGATCAAAGAGTGACCACTGGTTCATGCCAGTGATAAATGCCATCATCTCGCATTGTCACACAGTACAAGCATGTGTTCATCCCAGAAATTGTTCTCACTGTTTTTATCGACCACCACTGCTTTAGAGAGTATTCTTTTATATCAGATTCCATACTTCAAGACTCAGTCCACCTTCATTTGACCAAACCTTGTAACATAAATCATATGACGGCATTCTGAAATATCTTTTAATGTGATTGCCACTTCGTTTAAAACTTTAAAATACAGACTTTCAAAAATAAAGTTAATTTCATTCAACATTCCTTAAACAGATCACACAACATAAACATCAAATGTTGTAAAAAATCATCCCATTGTGAAATTACATTATTCAAAATTACAGACAAGTTGTTTCATTACGAAGTGCAACAGAAGAAATAACAAAATACATGCAATATTCTGATTTCTTAATGAGGACTTTTTCTCTTCTTTTTCCGGTTTAACAATGTTTGTACATTTTCCGGTACCCTTTACGGGTCCCCAACTTTTCAGTTGGCTTCATCTATGGACATTCGGTAGGACTCCTTGGACGAGGGATTGGCCCATCGCAAGGCCTCTACCTGTACACAGGACAACACAACACAGTAAAACATCCATGGCTTGAGTGGGATTCGAACCCACAGTCCCTGCGACCAAGCGGCACAAGACCCACGCCTCAGACTGCGCGGCCACTGCGGACACCCATGAGGACTTCTTGAATAAATAAAAAGCAAATACATATTTTATTTAATATATAAATTACAATAAAATTGCTTGTTACAGGTATCCAACATATAAATTTGTTACACCTCTATCAAAAAGCAAGGAGAGTAAACTGAGTGCCAAACACATTAAAAGGCCAACATTTTATCCATGTAAATGTAACACCAAGGCAGTGGTAAAGCTAAACATATCTGTCTGTAACAAATCTCACAGATCATGGAAATTAGTTTATGATCCATGGACAATATATATTTTATTTTATTACAAATACCATTATTTCGGTCTCAAACAAAATATTTGCACATTCAGATTAACTTTACGGAGCAGAATGCTTCTTGAGATGCTAACAGTTATTCACGTCTTCAAGAAATGATCCACCATTTATAAAAACTCCAATTTCCAACGCATTCATGATAGCCAGCCACTTGTCCCTATCCTGAGCCAGATGTATCCAATCCATATCCTCACATCAAAATTCTTTAACACAAAGTTCTATATTATCCTTCCATCCATGTCTAGGTCTTCCAAGTGGTCACTTCCATTCAGGTTATATGACCACATATTTTATACATTTTCCTTCTCTCCCACGTACATGTGATATGTTTCACAGGACTTTTCTATAGACAGATTCTGATACGCACAATTCAAAACAACCCTGCCCTTTAAATATTCAATTGCTAAAAATAAAATCACCACTAAAAATTTATCAGTCACATATAAAAAAGCATGCTTTGGAGACTAATGATGAAGATATTTTTCCCCTTACTGCAGTGGTCCCCAAGCTGAATTCCTCAAACCCACTGTATATTAAATATATCAGGGATTTAACTACAATGAATCTGCAATCACAGATATTTTGTACCAATACTCCTTTGACATAAATAAAATTAAAAAACTTGTGAGAAGTAGGAATTTATTTCAATAAATATTGTTTTTTTAGTTCTTTCCTACTGCATACTTCAGAAGGATGACTATGCTGGAGGTCAGCATGGCCCATAGCTTAGAAATTTACTTTGTGCCGCCCAATTACCTTCAATACATTACCTGCACCGGACAAACAAAACCATTTCCATATTAACCTGCTTCTGGGACACAACCATTTCCATATTAACCTGCTTCTGGTATCTATAATGACACTGGCTGTGCGCCATGATGAAACACGCCATTTTATGAATCAATCTGCCAATGATTTTAAATAAATTCTGAAAAAAAGTCTCATGTTATTAACGGCAATCAAGTAAAATAATTTCCTGGCGTTTTCTTCAGGGACTGATTAAATAATCCCTTAGAAACTCAGGTCAGTATTACCAGGCCAGAAATTTAATGTGAATATTGCAATAATATGAGTTGATTGCATTATCACTAACCTAAACCAGTTAAACCCAATATGTAAGTCAAATCAAACACAACTAATGATACATGATGCTGTGACTCACCAATTTCAATATAGTTTCGTGTAGTTCACAGCCAAAACTTCTTTTGCACAGCTTACTGACATTTCTGCTAGTCTTTTCTTGTTTATTGTCAGAACATATTTGCCACTTTTTACTCTCGCTTTAATGTTGTCAAAATTCATGGTGAGCATGGATTTTATTGCATACCTTACAAAAACAAGATTAAATTCAAATGTTTCAAAATTAGACACAACCTTTTCACTTTGGCAAATTTTAAGTTTGTAACCAATTCAATAGAACAGAGTATTTGGGAAACCAACAGTCACTCAAATTGTTAATAAATTTTCCATTTTTATGGAACCTTAAAATTCATAATTGTGTTCACATGAGCCAGCTACTGGACCCATCCTGAGCCAGATAATCCAATATACATACTAATACCCTATTTATTCAATATCCATTTTAATATTATCCCACCATCTACACCTAGATCTCCAATGTGGTATATTCCCTTCAGATTTACAGGCTAAAAATTTGTATGCATTTCTTATCTCTTTCATACAAGAGAGAAAGGTCCAAACACTAAAAAAAAAGTTTCTTATCCTTTCAGTACCAATATAACATGGTAAATCTTATTTTGTAAATTCATTTTTGTCGATGCCAAAAGTTATGCAACTGTACCAAGACTGAATATCATGTGCGCTACTCAAACATCAGACAAAGCCCAGGATCTTGCAGGCCTTAAATTAAATCACATTGTTTCTTTCAGAAAGCTAACATATGTGTAAAGGATATCTGATTGAAATTGGCCACACGAAACCAGTGTCTGGAAGAAGAAATTATTGGAAAAGATAAGGTTCTCAAATTCTGATTTCTCAAGCACGTGATATTAAATTTTAAGAACCTGTGCCTCATTCTGTTACTCACTGACTTCACTCGTACCTTCCTCCAGGGATCCAGTTCTTATCCTTCCATTTATACATACAGTAGATCTTCAACTAGGACCTACTGACATGTGTACGCATGTGTCGATTGAGTTTCGACTTGGTGTAGAATGATTTTTTGCACAATTGACACAAGTAAGGACGTTCTCCTGTGTGTATTCGTTCATGGATTATAAGATGCTGGTTTTCAATGAATGATTTGTTACACTGCATACACGTAAAGCGCTTTTCACCCTTATGATAACGCATATGTCTTGTGATCTCAGACTTAGTAAAGAAGGAAAGCTCACATAGCTCACAAGGAAAGGCCTTATGTCCAGTATGAAGCAGCTCATGCCTCTCAAGACCTGATTTTGTGAAGAATGTCCTCCCGCACGAACCGCAGGAAAAATCGTTAATCCCTGAGTGCCGTTTCTGGTGTGTCTTGAGATTCGTAAGTGTCGTAAAAGTCTTCTCACAAAGTGTACATGCATAAGGCTTCTCCTGTGACACACAAAAAAGAACCCTTTGATCATTACTATTCTTGGTCTACTTAACAACAATTTATCAACTACATATGTTACATACCATTCAAAGAGGGACAAAATAATGATCAAGAGAAGATATTACCCCATTGTTTGCCTGTAGAAACTGAGTGAAATCATGAAAACTTCAGTCAGGATTGTCTCCCAGCTGAGACTCAAACTGTGGGCCCTGTGAATATCAAGCAGGATTGCTACTGCACTGCAACACTCCATCTGGTATATACGCATGTAGATTTATAAGCAAATAAAACTGGGTTGAACACAGTAAATTTATGTTCCCTCACTTTGCTTTGACTAGGATGCACATACAATTACGTTTCCTTCGCCTTACAATTTTCATAGCATAATATCTCTGGTTATGTGGCAAAAATAATTCCAAATTGTTATTTGGATTTTCCATTTATAAGATAAATATAACAAAGTTAGCTAAAACACTTGCTGTAGTCATGCCAGAGCAAAGTAAAACCAAGAATGTTATTATTGTTAAACATGGTATAATTCTTATCAACTTGGAATAAATTTTGTGATTACAGCTGTGATTGTGATGACTGAATTGTACAGCACTGGACAGAGGAATGAGCCTGGTTGACTTCATGTTCCAGATCCGTGTAACACTACGGATAGCATTAAACTCATTTTTTGGTAGAATATGATGAAGAAATTCTCATATCCCACATGTGAATCAAACCTTTGCCTTCCATTCAACAGCCAGTCACTTTGTTGAGCCACCAGACTCTGATGATGAATAACACACCTAAGAAGATTTTGATTCATTTTACTAAAAAAGTACCTCAAACCTGTGATTCATTCTTATTGCCAGAGCTTCAAGAAGCAAAACGTATTCAGGAATTTCACTGTATACAATCCTTAACTTGGAAATTTGGTTACAGAGATTTTACACACCCAATACAAAGCAAATTAGTATACGATTTATGTGGCAGTCATATCATCCATCAACCCACCTACATAACATATATAACAACTGCTTACCTGCGTATGTACTCTTTCATGATTTGTGAGCTGGCTTTTCTGGACAAAAGTTTTGCCACACGCATTACAAAGAAAAGGTTTGATACCATTATGTCTGTTCTCATGACTCTTAAGACCAGAGTAACTGTGGAAAGTCTTATCACAGAGGCTACACGCGTACGGTCGTACTCCGGAATGATACCGCCTATGCACATTTAGGTCCTGTTTCCGAGCAAATGACTTCCCACACTCCTCACATAAATATGGTTTTTCCCCTCGATGAATTATTTCATGTTTCTTCAAATTGTCACGCTTTGAAAATGATTTTGAACAGATCTTACAAATAAATGGTGGTTTGTCTTCACCAAGAATGTCGTCTTCCTCTTCCATTTCCATGTCATTCTTCAACACTGATGGTAGTGATGGCAGGGGTTGTGGTTGGTAAGCTGTACCTTGTGTAGACAAAGTCTTTTTATTTTTAACCAACCTTCTTAAACGTGTTTTCCTAGTTACTCTTTGAATTGTTCCTCTCCTTCGTTTCTTTTTATCTTCTTTCCGAGAGGCGTCATTTGCAAATGGTGTTTGCAGTGCAGTTAAACCATTTCCAAAAGCATCTACATTGCACAGTATAACAATTTTTTCAGACTGTGACGTACTTGCTTGCTCTCTGCGTGGAACAATATTTCTGAACTTGGGCAAGTTGCCAGAACTTTCTGTTTTGTCGCAGCTATCTTCATCTTGACTGTCTTCCTTCATTCCTGTATCATGACTATCCTCATCTGGACTCTCTTCCTTCATACCTGTATTCTGGAATAAATAAAATTAACATATTCTGTAAGAACATGAGTATATGATACTATAAGTCTATGACATTTAATAATACTGCCTCAAATGTACAAATTATATAACAGTGAATGAGATAGGAAGATGATTATGAATGGTAAGTAAGTAACATGTAGGATTTAAGGTTTTCACAGCACTGAGTCTGAAGATGGCTGTCTTCTGGGTTGTTGTGTTGTGTAGTCAGGTAGAAGTTTATCGACATTTCAGAGGTCCTTGCTTCCTCCATCATCAGGGGTATTTCCCTGATTATAGAGACTACACAGTGAACAACCCAGAAGACAGCCATCTTCAACCAAGTAATAATTTGCAAAAATATAGTAAATAGTCTCTTACAAGGTACTATCCTGGCAATGGACAGGATAAATCATGAAACACCTCATTTTGAGTAACTGATACCATGTGAGATTTTCAGATTCTTGCTGTGGCAAATATAAAGATTGTAAAAGTCTAGCAATTTTCTTCTACACCAACTTGCACCATAGTAAACAAACACAAACTCACATTCGTCCATGCTGATTAAAGTGATAATTGTCATCTTATCTGTGAAAAACTCAGATCTCCCACTTTATATAACAGTGCCTCTCCCACTGGGCTACTAAGAACTTACACTGGTAAGTTGACAAAATACCTCACCTTAGCTCCCCAAGACAAAACAACTACACTACACAATGAACTTATCAGTATTTGCAAGAAAAGTGCAAAAAAATAATTTTAACCCACAGCTTCTTACAGAACACATTTCTGGTAAAAATAATCTGTAAGACAATTAAAAAATTTCCTAAAAGTTTGTATTTCCATCAGCAACTTTACAGTGTACACTTATCACTCTAAAATAAGTTCATTTGCAGCTACTAGATCTAACGCAAACCATTTTAATCTGCCCAGCCCTCATAACCCTTCAATGGATATGGGTTTTATTTAAGGCTGTTAGCCCTAATGAAACCATTCTAAATTACCAAATACAATTGGGCACTAAATTTTCTTTCTTATTCTTCTTAAGATGTTTCCACTTTATGTGGGTACTATGCTATACACATTTTGTGTGAAAAATTATATTAGAAATTCTTTAGTGTATACAACAAATACATCTTAAAAATGTAACATCCTCATACATATGGAACACATATGTATATGCATTACAAGAGGAAAATAATAACACAGATAAACTGCTACCTCAGTAACACCCTCATCTTCTGAGTTGTCAGGGGATTTCTTAATGTACTGCTTCAGCATCGCATCAGAAGTTTCACACTTCATCTTAAACTTGTACGATCTATCTACTTCATGGCAGCACTGTTGACAAATCAATGCTGGAAGACCATCTCCTTCAAATATCTGTAAGTTGTTATGAGTTATAGTTTGTCTTAATACAAAGTTACAGATTTATCTAACATAATCTATAAACTTTCACAGATCATTTCCTTGCAACATAAGTAGCTGAATTTTTCATGAGAGTGGTTAGCTTGCCTGTTTCATAGTCAGTTCAGCTGAAATCTCAGGTGGAAGACTGGCCATTCTGACAAGAATCTATCATGATTATGTCACACTTATCAACCACAAAGTGGCAGAGTGCAATAATACACGACATGACTGCTTCTTCATATAACCATTCATGATCATCCTGTCATTTCTCACTAATACTATTTTTAACTTAACTAGTTAACACAATGTTGTTAACACATTGTGCTACTCACACTGTGGAATGATCTATACGCATCAATACATATGGAGATGATACGCTCATTACCCATAGTTGGTTAATGCATTATTAAATGACAATAAATCAACTACTGAGGTTATTTAACACTGACCATGATGAGATGAGAGAATAACCATGCAAAACTATTGGAACAACTTGCGGTCTACCCAAGATTTGAACTACAAACTCCCTTAATACAAGTTAGTCATGTTATCACCAAGATAACCTTCACTTGTCAGCATAGATATTACAGGGACAGAAATTCAAAATCCTTGTAAAAGGTGACTTTCTAAACATCTGCTGCTGGCCACCAATGCATTAAGAAGAGTTTTTGGAGAAAAAAATACAATTTGATCTAGTTTTTATACTTCAAATGCACTAAGCAAGAACTGACAAAAGCAAATTTTGAGCTAAGATATGTGACTGCTAACAGTTTCCCCACTACTATCTGCCACATATGTTCAAAACCCGTATCCTGGATTGTAAAAAGTACACACAAGCTTTGCCTGTCATAGTTTGACACATCAAAGACCTTCCAACTAAATAAAAAATTAAGGGGTAGACATTCAGTAAGTTGGGCTTTACCAAAGAAAATGTCAGAGATGTGAATTTTATGCTTTCTTACTACAAATTCTACTACCTACCGAACTCATTTATCTATACATTAAAGAAGGGGCTTCAAAGCAGCTAATATTAAAATTTTGTGAAGTGCATGACGTGTTTCTGTTGATAAACGTCGATAAAAACAAAGTTAGTATACTTCCTGATACATCGATTTCGTTATTAGTATGACCAAACAAAACATGCATACACAATTTTATTTAAATATAATATGTAATAGATAGGTATACCACGACTGGCACATTTTTCCAGGACCTACTCAACAGGAACAAAATTCCCATTATTACAATAAATATTTAATGTCTTTCCTTTTGTCAGGAAGTAGATACAAATAACAACTACGCACGTACTAACCTCAAAAGATACAAATGACATAATCCGTTTCGGAAGAGGTACTGCAAAAATAGATGACATTTCGCCTTCTTTTAGCAAACAAAGGCGGCATATTTCACTGAAATTCAGTGTCATGTTGTGGTTGTTCATTTTCGGTGATGTAACAACACATATACAAAATGAAATAAAATAACAATACTTTTACAAACAAAATGCATACAAATATTTCAACCAACAACAACCACCGTCAGCCATTGCCTTGTAATTAGGCACACGATCTTCTCATTGGCCTGGTGAGTTAGCAAGTTTTGATTTCATGGCCTGCTTTATTCAATCACAGGGAGAACGAAACGTAATATTAATGCGGGAACATCGGCAAAAGCGGTTTACCATTTTTGAATTTATCACAGAAATGTCTGTTTTTCGTTACAATTTTGGGCATGGTATTTTCCCTCACCGTGATAGAACTAGTAAATAAGGGGGTTCGATAACGCAATATCATATACAAAGTGGGAGAGGGGTCACATTTTGTTTCTATATTAAAACAATGCTGGACCAACAATCAATACCATTTCAAATATTTTGGAATGAAAGAGAACAATAGGAAAGACGGAGGGTATAACCCTGCATGTCTCCAAATCAACCAGAAGAAACTATAAAAATTGTAGCACTGATGAAATTTTTTTTTAAAAAAATGGAATGCTGTTCTTCAAACATTTGCTCCAATAATTGTTGTATTGTAAGATTTGAGGTTTTCACATTGGCGAGTATGAAGATTTCTGTCTTCTGGGTTGTTGCACTGTGTAATCTGGTCGATATATTCATATCCTTGATGATGGAGGCAGTATGACCTCTGAAACGGTAAACATCGACCAAACTACACAGCAAAACAACCCAGAAATCTTCAATTGTTGTATTGTTTTAAAAATTCAAAAAACAACACAGTACGACAAACGTTTAATGTTGAGACATGCTGTTTAAATAAACACTTGAACATCTAGAGAGCCTTCTATTTCCATTTTACATAGTTCAATGAATAAAAACTCTCTCTTTAACCTTCATACATATTCCCTTTTTTATTACTTGCCAGCTTTTACTCCTCTTCTTGATTTCATGTAGTAAGCCTCGCTGGATGAACCATCTCCATCTGGTTTGTAACTTTTTTTTTTTTTGTAATTCTCTTCTGAGTATCCCTTGTTCTATGAATACTCAAGATTGTCACCCAACAAATGTTTGCATAGCTGTTCACTGAAAAAGCTTCAAATACTACTTATCCAACCAGTCAAATATCATGTCATGATTTTCTGGGTTGGGACATTGAGTATAATCCCAAGTGTGCTCAAAGCTACTCTGGACATGGAGATAAATAAGAATAATTATGTGCAATCTGAGATGAGCAGTACTTGGAAGTACTAAATGAGCTTCATGACTTCACTGTATGGTAACAGAATGTTTGTTGGAAAACTTAAAACAAAACACATTATTTGGAAAATTTAAGCACAGATGGGAAGACAACATTAAAATGTATCTTATAAAAAAAATAAAGATGTTGGCTGAATTCAGTAGCTCAGATAGATCCAATGGCAGAGTTTTGTGAACATTATGAATCTCCAAGTTCAGTGACCACCTGAATAACTATTACTTTTCCAAGAAAGGCTCTGCACCACTCACTTCAGAACAAATATTAAACCCATAATAATTTATATTTGTAATCCATACATGCAACCTCTAGCTCTATATTCAAGTTTCACAGTTTCATCATTCAACCATATATTTATAACACAAATACGTTAGTATTGATAATGAGTACAATGGGATACCATGTAAAATAATTTACAAAACAGAGAAAGAACATGTCATTGTACTTACAAACCATGTAGGATTTCAAGTTCTCGCATCAGAAAGTATGAAGATGACCATTTTTTGGGACGATGTGCCACATAATTCAACAGAAACTGGCTGTTTCAGAGGTGCTTATTGCCTTATTATCAAGATGATCAGTACCTTACCCAATTTATATTAGACTACATGGCACATCATAGAAGCCAATCATATTCATACAAACCATATAATTGTAACTATGAAGGTCATCAAAAAAGGTAAAACATGCAAGCACAAAATAAATGTTCAAAAGTATGTCTTACTGGCAATTGCTGACACTCCATCCTGAAATACTTATTTGAATAACGAGAATAACATAGTGAAATTCAATGTCTTCCAAACACATTTCAATACCTTAATCTATACACAATGAATTTTACATAATCCAAACCTGCATTAATAACATATTTTACATAGTAATTTTGCATCAAACTTAGAACATATACAGTCTGAAGTTTGCATTTTCACGGCGATGAGTCTAAAGATGGCTGTCTTCTGGGTTGTTGCCCCATGTAGTCTGGGAGAAATACACTGACGTTCAGAGGTCTCCGCTGCCAACATCAAGGCGAACCAGACTACATTGTGCAATGTTAATAAATGTGACATTCATAGAAACCATAACAGGAGGCAAACAAATGTGGTTATTTAACCTCCAAATGGTTCACCACAAATAATTAAGTCATCATGACATGTCAAACTGACAAAAAAATATAACAAACACTTACTGTTTTACAATGAAATAAAGTACAAGCTGAAACTCCATTTTACATTTGTCTAATAAAGGCACATTTCATTACATCAATTTACAAGCAGTCACTTAATTCATTATACATTGGATTTAGAATGAATACCTTTCTCCCACTCCTTTCTATACAATAAATATAATTGCAATGCTGTTCTTGCATCTACCACTGAATCATGTTCACCCTGCTGTATTTTAACACCCAATACTTCTTCAGCTAGTTTGCGCAAACTTGGTGTACGACCATTTGCAAATTTTCGGAAGGGTTTGTACCTAGATGTATCCCGAATTGCTCTCCTTGGATGACTTAGAAAGAGGACTTTCAGGTCATTTCTTAACGCATGACCAACCAAAATCCGACCTTGTAAAATTTCTGCTACTTCCTTCTGAACAGTCTCAAAACGTTCTCCATTATGCAAATCATTTGGTCGAATGCCACTGACACGAGTTCTGTAATCCACGATTGGCTCAGAGGGCAACACATACTTATCATATATACAATTTCCATACTTATTTACCAACGACACCCTTGCAAGCATATTGTCCTTTCCAGTATCAATGCCCACCATTTCACAGTCCAGAGCAATAACTTTTGTTTTTTCTTTACTCAAATCAGTAAACTTTTTTTTCACGTGTCCATCGGCTGACGACTGTGATGTTACCTTACCAATATCCACTGATTTCTTCTTATTAAGTCCATGTTCCCTTTTATTTTCTACTTGTAGAGGACTGGTCTTCTCTAAATGCAAAAGATTTTGCTTAAAGGTTTTCCAGTTGTTTGAAACGCCATCTTTGTTGATATTTGCAAAATTATTTGCTTGATTTTCTTTCACATTTCTAGCTTTCATTGTTTCACCTCCACCACCTCGTTTCTTATATTCCCTTCGTGTGCTCAAATGTACCGAATCTATGGACGTTTTCTTCTTACCACATTCTGAAAAGTTTTCATTTCTATCAGACATTATGACACGAAAAAACTACCGCACCAGTAAGGAACACGTGCAACCATACGAACACTTCCGGGAACAGGATGCAATATACCAACTTCAAAATAAAGAACTATGCAACCAGATGAACACTTCCGGGAACAGGAAACAATATACCAACTTCAAAATAAAGAACTCATGTGCACTCTCGAAGCATGGAAATTACCCATGTAGAGAATACATGAAGAACTTTACGAAGCCTTGCGGGGAATATTGTGCGATGAAAAATGCAAGAGGCTTCGTACCCATGAATTCCAAATCTTAACAAGCAAGTTAATATACGTATTACCTCAATAGGTAAGATAAAAATGATAACTACGACGTAACACGTGTAAGCAGGTTACATCATAAAAAATAAAGAAAAGCATGACGAATGTAGCGACGCATATAAAAAGTTGACAGTGGAACCACGGTTCCGGAGAATCTGACGTAAATACGTCTCTGTAATGTAATAATTCTTATATAAGAAAAGTACTTGTGATATTCTATCTTCGTTACGCTTTTTTGCCGAATGACCCTTCCGTATAGACGTATTTACATCAAAACACATCAAGTATGTTTTGTTCCAAATAAGACTCCACACCAACAAGGTGATAGGTGCACATCACCAATAAATAAAAGAAAGCTTTCCAACAAATACAAGATGAAAAAATATAAGCATTTTCATCAATAAACACAATATACACACACAGAACAGAACTGACTAAAGCAATGGGCATATTTTTAATAAAGTTCTTCCAACTGTTTTATTTAGAAATGTATTAAATAAATTTGGGAATTTAATTTGTCTTACACAGATTCACAAACCTTCACAATCCCTTGCATTTTTCACTGTAAAAAATGTCTTGGGTATAGGTACTTAATTTTATAATCCAAAACACCTCTTTACATCTGCATATATATATATATTTTCAATTATATGCTGTTAACTTATGCCATCTTAATAGTTCAAGGTCTTCACAATTCAGATAAATTATCATGTTCATCACAGTCAAGTCCATTTATTCAGCTTTAATTACATCACACATGGATACATCATTTAAAATACCTTCCTTAATCCATGTGTAGGCTCATAGTTCTGAAGTAAAACAACACGGGATGGCAACACTCTCTCTCGACACAGTGGGCACATTTGTTGCGTTTGCACCCACTCTAAGATGCAATTCCAACAAAAGAGGTGACCACAAGGTGTTACTGTTGTGTGTTTCCTATCCTCCAAACACAGGGCACAACGCTCCTTTGAGCCAGATATTGCAGAATCTTTCAACTCGAGATCTTGCACAGCAAACATATTTGCAGAAGTATGTTGTAATTTCCACCACATGATACAAGTATGGAGAGCAAGCAGTAGGAGATATGATAAAGAAATAACTCCCAAAATCTTGAAACCACTATGTTGTATTCCAGCTTTTAACCAATGCCGTACCAAAATATGCTTGATTCCAGTCAGTCTTTTGGCAAGGTGATAATAATTGCCATTAAGATAAAAAATTCCTTTATGCAATCTATAAATATATGGAATCAAACCCTTAATGACACCAATGTATGAAAGCAACTTTGTTTGAATTTCTGGTCGCAGCTGTGTCGCACTAGATGGTAATTTGAGATGTTTTTCCAATCTACTGAGGAAATGAAGGAGAAAAATTTCCCCCCCACAGTTCAGTATAATCATAGATATTCTTAGCATCTTGCTTGGTACATTCCTACTTGTTTTATCAATCTGAATCATTCCTGTATACTCTTCACCTAGTGTTTGGAAACCAGGTACAGTTGTGAATCCATAATACAAAAACTTTGCTATGGCTTCCCTCAAATTCCGTGCTTTCAGAAACCTCCTATTTCCAGCAAACATGTATATTATATCAGAAACAAGGTCACTGAGTGTGTCTGTAATCTGGTCATCTTTCTGAGCTGCACGAAGGATTTCAGCTTGACCTGCTCTAGTAACGTTTGTTATGGAAGCCATAATTGAAATAGAAATTCCTTTTTGTGATTCTGAAAGATTTAAAAATTTATAAACTTTGTAATGACCTTCAGAAGCATGTTACCTGAAACAAACACAACTTATTAGTATGACTACAAGGACAAAACAAGAGTCCTCTCAAAACTCCAGTCCAGACTATAATGTAGAAAAATGTATTATGAAATTAAGTCTTCCAACAGTGATGACACAAGTCACAAAGTAACACATGCACCATGCAGCAAAAATGACAACTTTTATCAATTATCCAAGGACACAAACATGTTCTAAACAAAAGATTCTTATATATGATTTCAATCATGAATCTGAAATTTATTTTAATCTCATCAAAAATTGTTGCTTCAAACCACTGCAGCATGCCTCACCATTTGTTAAGTAATGAACAACACAATAAAACAAAATCTTAGGCCAAGTAGTCTTACGACTAACATATCGCCCACAAGCTAGGCACTTAATAGCTCAATCTTTGTTCAGCCCACAAAATTACATGCAATACACACATATGTCTGCTTCGACTCCTTCGTTTTCTTGCTTTATGTAATATAGGCACCTGTTGTTGAAAACGTAAAAGAATTCCTGAAAGTGCATTCAATTGGCGGGTATAACCTCAAAGCACGCCACATTTTCCATAAAACACATTGCACATTTCTATCCTTAAAAATATAAAAAGAATATTGTGACCACCTTAATCGCCGTAATTTTATTTGTTGAAACAAGCGTATATATTCTCCGCGTTTAACGCCGACACAGCTAAGACGCCTTCGAAATTGCCACAAGCGTATATATTCTCTGCGTTTAACGCTGACACAGCTAAGACGCCTTCGAAATTGCATGCTCCTTTCGGCCGAGTATAATAAAATTCCAAGATACCTTGGATAATTTAAGAAAATACGTGCAATTCAATACTGAAATTAGAATGGCTGTTTCTACTGCAGCTCAGCACACACAAATATAAAAGCTACGCTTCCCAACGTCTACGAACACTAACGTCACGCTACCAAAGTAACAACTCATGCTTCCTTTCCCAACGGCACCACATACTGTTTCGTCATCGGAGAGCGGCATATATAAAAACAAAATACGCAATCCTCACAATCACAATTTCAGTATATTTACTCACATGTACTCTTCTTGGTCTATCCATTTTCTAACCAACATATTCAATGAAATTGACAAAGGTGTTACATCTGTAATCCGTTCTTCAGGAGCTTACTCACAAGGCCATTCCCTGTCAGAAATATATAAATGAAAATTTCAAGCGTCACATAGCTAGGAGTGGTGGGAGGTCAGATTATCAGCAGTTATGGCAGCATGAGTGCTTGAATTTTAAGAATGATTTACATAAGTAGGCCATTTTAATGATCAAGTTTTTACACAGTGCAGTTCATACTATAATAAATGTTCAAATTGGCCACCTTGAGCTTAGATACACATTCTCTCTTATCATTTCCCTGTTGAACATGTAACCCTACCAAAGACCTTGGGTCATTTCCATTCTTATACAAAGTAGTTTACCTCTTTTTTATTTCACATTCAAAAACCTCCTAGCTGATCACAGAGTGCAAGTTAGTAGCAAGAAAGACAGGATAGCAAATCTAACCGTTCAGTACCTCAAATGGATCAATATTAATATGGAAATCTTCAATTTTGACAATTTTATGGGGGAATACTATATATTATGTGAAATATAGGCTAGACACTAAATATAATAGATGAAAATATAATGTTTTAGAATATAACAAATATAAGAAACTTTTAATGACTTATACAGGTGGTGTGACCTCTGAAGATGTTTTAAAATTCACAAAAACATGTAGTATGGAAGGACAAAACATTTTGATGAATTTAATGGTTGTAATAAAATGACATAAGTGTAAGATTTGAGGTTTTCACAGCGGTGAGTATGAAGATTTCTGTCTTCTGGGTTGTTGCGCTGTGTAGTCTGGTCGATGTTTACCAA